AAATGTCCCCTAAATAAACCCTCAGCATCCAGAATATATTGGCTCTGAGCATTCATCTCCAACAACCTGTTACATGCCTTTGAATCCCACGGAAACGTTTCAATCTTCTCTACTTCATTAAATTATCACTAAGCAGCTCTCTGCTCTTCAATTTCTCTAAATCCCAGTTTCTCCCCTAGAAATTCTCTTCACTGTGACATAATATCTTTTCCCTCAAACTAAACCTAAATACCTGACCATGCAATCTACCACCAAAATGCCAGAAGCTGCCCTCACGGAATCAGCGATTCCAACCCCTTATTTTGGTTGTCCATTCCTTCAATATTTTCCAGGGATTTTAAAATTTCTCAAAAGTGGAGCTTTCAAAATCTTGAATTGAGTGGTAATTAGTTATTTCTTAAGGTGGCAGTTATTTGGGAGAGGAAGCATGCGGAAGAATTTGCACAGCTGCTGAAGAATGAATTACCCATCCAACTATAGATTTCTTTGTCCATTATTCAAGCCACTCCATTCCATTCATGCCCCAGTTCTTCAAAATTTTAGAACTAGAACCAGTTTTCATGCATTTAAAAGATTGAAAACTCACTATGTCCCTGCTCCATTTGTCAATATCCCACAGCTATTGGGTTTGGGATTTTCTGTGGCCAAATAATCAGGCTGTCCCTCTCCACCTAATGTCAATTGGGTTTAATTTAGATGTTTTATCACTGAGTAGCACAGAGACAATTTGACAGTAATAAGACAAATTTTAAAAATATTTAATGCAAACACACTTTCCACATTACAGTAAATGTAACAAATGTATAGGAAACAGTGTGACGAAAATTCTATGAATGTGAAATTCCTGTAATAAAGACAAATTTATTACCATACCTTCAGCATCTCAGATGCAGTAGGGCGTAGACGTGGATCCTTTGTAAGGCTCTTAGCAACAAAATCATGAAAGACAAGAGACCTGCATGTTAAAATAACCTAAGTGAATACAGAGATCTATTAATTATCTATTTAATTCCAGAAGCATTAAACTCATATATGAAAGCCACTTGTAGGGTTAGAACCCCACTATTAAATGTGGAAAACTAAGTATAATATACCTTATTCTAGTGTGTAGAACTACTGGAGAAGGTTATACAAATTAAATATTTTACAAAAATGGTGAGCAGATGAGGTATGACAAGTAAAGAGAAAGCACAAGTCATCTTGATTCTTCTTTGACAAAGATTTCTGTACAGCTAATTCAATAAACGAATCACCATTGCTGACCGTACATATATCTATAACCCAACAACCAATCTGGTCTCCTCTTTAAGTTACCTTCTTTCAAAGAATCAATTATGAAAACAAACTCAAAAAAGTAACCGAATAATAAAAAAATCAAAATTTTGATGTAAGATATCCCGAAATCACAATGGAAGTTGAAACGCTGCATCTGTTCAAGAACTTTCAAAGTGGGAAGAATAAGAAGACTGTTCCTCTCCCGCTTAACATCAGCCCTCATTGCTTTGAATGGCAAAGCATACAAAACCCACGTTTATGTGATGCTAAAACTTTGACTTTTAGATGCAAACAGAAAGGCGTTGGAAAGGCCACTTGAATATTGACATTAAACCTTTGAAAAAAGTAAACATGTGATGTGAACTGATGATAAAAGACCCAAAAGGTCACTACTGATGGACAAAGAAAAAATCACTAAGTGGATAGCATATAATAACATTGATACCTATCACAATAGAAGGATTTCATGAAGTTGAAAGATAAAATGATATACAAGTTTAAGAAAGTCACTACGTGCACAGATAAGGATTTTGGAAAATGAACTTGAACAACTAAACAGTAGAAGAATTGAACTAATGGAGTCGTTTGAAGTTGCCAAAGACAATTCAGGTTAAGCTATTGGGTGCCATTAGACAGATGACAAATGGAGAAAGTAAAACAGAGGGGATAAATCGTGATGAGGCAATTGAAAGCAGCGCTATGCCACATGGATCAACATAATATTTATTGCCTGATTTAAGTATGATGGCCAGAAATTTATGTAGATAATTCTGTACAACACAAATACAAATCTTTTGAATCTGATCATCAGTTTCGCAGTTTTTGAGCCAACTTGTAAGCTACCCATTTTTAAGCTGCTATAACAACTACTGCTCATAAAAAGGAACTAGAAAGACAAACCATTTTTCTTTGTCCTCAAGCATCGGGGCTGGCTCAATCGATATCATAAACAAAACCTATTGCAGACAACAGGTAGGTTATCCTTCAAAGACTGATTGAGAATGAGGGGGAAAAAACCATCATAAAAACAACATTAATACGAAAGTTTGAGGATCCAGAAATATCGAACATGATATTTTATATATGCCACAACAGCCCATAACAGAAGTACTGTCAATCAGGGTACATGCATTTTCCTGTAAGCTAGCAAACACTCATTTTCAGCTGCTAAATTTACCACAACAAACAGAGCCCGAGTTTTCACACTTTATCCTGCACCCACATGCCTGTAACTGGGAGTAAGAGGTTCTCGGAGAACCAACAGAGGTCCATTTGAATCAATTTATAACAATAACTGGGTGCCACAAGTGAAATCCATGCTCACATTCTATGACCGTCAAAAACCAACTGTTTCAAGAGATTTAAATGCAGTAGAGTATAAATATAACCCCAAAATGCTCAATAATTTACTCAAGGGACTAAAGCAAAATAAAGAATCTATCGTCAATTTACTGACTTCAAAAAAGTACTGGTAGTATGTAACAAATAGGTAGCCACCACACAGATATATTAAAAACAATCCTCTGAGATTCAATTTTACAAGCTAACTATAGAACAAAAGCCAGAGTGCAGAACAACAATGGCCAAAGAATTGCATGTTTATCAAAGGCATTGGATCTATACAATATAGCCATATATCATATTGAAGGCTACTCTTTTGACCCTGAATAAGGCCGAATTGCCTTATATGTACCATTTCAGAGGATCCATTCCCAGGGGCACTAATTTTGAAGCCATCCTATCCTATACTACCAATCATAAGTTAATGTCTTTATCAAGGAGATGTAATTCACATCAAGAGTAGTTGTGGCAGGATGCACATATGGTCACGGTAAAAACAACCAAAATATCAAAGTTTAAATTCTTCATATCATGCACTTACTCTCATTGGATGCACTGCTGATCTTGGAGGAAGTCCCTGAAAAGAAAATCAAATATATAAAGAGGATGTCAAGGGTGATAATCACTGAGTTTCATTCACCTTCAATATTTCTTTCTCAAAAGTCATTCAATAGAGACAAGCCTCAAATTTTACAAATAGGAGATACAACGACTATTAATTGGGAGTTTCTCTTATTTTCTCCTCAATGGGTGTGAGCCCCACCTTTTCAGTCCTAAGAATAGGAGCTAATAATAAAAACACTTTATCAAAAATTACTTGGATGACCAATAGGTTCAATTTAAGTTACAAGTAGCGAACCCAACAAGGCCAAATTTCTTCTTTTAGAATTGCAAAGAGAACCAATAAGATGCCCATTTCCAGCTTGTGCTGGTAGCTGCAGAGCCAGTAACAGAATAAATAAAAATACCTCTGCCATTTCAATTGCAGATACACCAAGTGCCCACACATCCACCTGGAAGTAAAAAATTTAGAATGTAAAAGGAAGTTAGACAACGAACAACTTTAACATTTCACATCAAATCCTTTCTAAAAGAATCCAATTGATGTTCTACATTAACATTTTCATTAATAATCTAAACAATATTTACTAGCAAGAAAAACTCTGGTTAAATATTCTGACAAGACCCAGCCTTCTACAGGTTTTCATGAAATTTGGGTTTTTACTTATTATTTCTCTTGCTTTTTGAATTTTACAAATTTGTTTTACTTCATGCAATTCCAAACTTCCAAACTTCCAAACTTTTAGTCATTCTTATGCATCTATATATGTGATGGCATGGCATGATCTTCTCAAAAAGCCCCCTCCTCCAAGTACCAAGATATCACTTTAGTGTCATACTTCAGGATTAGACTACTGCACTCAATAGCAAAGTAATTTATACTTTTTGTTTTCACAAGACAACAAAAAACAAAACAAAGTATTATTATTACTACTGAGGCCTGCTAGCACACAAAGTATTATTATTGCTTCACCAAAAATTATAGTTTGTGGAAAAGTTCATGCAACTGCCAACCAACACATCTGGAAATGGATCAAAGAACGTCAATGTCAACATGAAAATTATCCATTCCCCAGATCTATCACTAAAAAGAATAGAAAAAGGAAATATGACAAGTGTTAAAGAGAAAAATTAAAAGAAGATCAAATCCATGCAGATTAAGGATTATGGTACCTTTCCATCATAGCGACTTTCCTGAATAACTTCTGGAGCCATCCAATGTGGAGTGCCAATAAACTGAAAATAAAAAAAGAATAATATCATGAAAACACTTCCACTAATTGAGAACAAATAAATTATCAAATTAAAAAAAAGATATCCATGATGCAAGTCCAGATATACATCAATGTCAACTAATATGGAGGTAAACCTTTCAATATATATATATATATACACACACACACACACACAGAAAGAGGTGAAAGATAAATAATTACTACAGCAGAGCAAAAAAACACTACTACATGAGCTTCAGCACTCAGCTACTGGTTAGATATCCTCGCTTCCAGAAAAGTACCCCTCACCATAAGATTCTTAAATAACAGAAATTCAGGGAGTGTTTGGTATGCTCATTATAATCTATTGCACTTGAAACACTGCTGATGAATAAACTAGAAGCGGGTTTGCCTATTTAACATGATATCTAAAGAGCTGACCTTGTAAACAATTTATTCACCTCAGCACCTTGACATTTGTAAGAAACTGTAGGATGATATTGATTTCAGTTAAGTCATTCAGAAAATTCTTCAGAAGGCTTTCTAGCCTTGACAAACCCATTAACCAAGATATATCCCAGAACCTTCATCAAAATGTCTATCTTATGCTGAAATGAAGTGAACAGTTGGACACATTGCAAAGTAGTTACAATACTACATACTGTATTGCGCTTTGACATGGTCCTTGTAAGCTGTGCCGCTACCCCAAAATCACCTGTTCGCTCATCATCATCATCAAAATAACACCAGATTCACAGATCAGCAAGTTTTCAAGATGGAAAAACAAAAAAGTAATGCGTTATTAAGCCCAGATGGAAACAGTGTTCACATAAGTTCTTTCCCCTTCAATTTATCTCAAACATTCTTGACTATATTCAAAGTATCTCTATGTCACTAACAAAGTCTGCTTAGGATGCACCAAATGAGAAACACTCTTGTTTCTACCGCATTGCCCTGTATATGAAGGAAGGGACTGACACGAAAATTGCGTTTCTAGGATACTTTCTTTGGTAATCACTATGGATCCAAGTGGACAAGATAGAAACTTCATTATGATAGAAATCACTTTCAAGTGCAACAAACTAGTTACCAACCCTACCAAATGGCAACAATATTAAGATGGATGCACCAATTTCTAGAATATTAACTTCCTAGTACAACTGATTTCGATTAGATAAATGAATAAAAAGGGTACTCACCCAACTTCACCTCTCCTTGTTCAGTTAACAAGATATTACCACCCTTAATATCTCTATGCACTTTGAAAATTGAGTGCAAATAGTCAAGGCCCTGCTTGAGATGAAATTGAAAGAAACAAATTGTTAATTAGAAAGTGGAAAAATATTAGACAATGCATAAACATAACTATGAGATAGCTTGCTAGACTTTAGTTATTATTGTTTGAGGCCCAGCCCTAAGAAGCACATCTGACAAGAAATAAGAATACAGCCATCCACATACGAACACGAATTGGTTTAGCATGTAAATGCTATTGATAACTTATGACCATTGAACGTCAAGCATGACAGACAAATTGACAGAGAAAAAATGAAACTATGTAAATTAGGTTTGAGTGCATTAAGTTCCATGAGTCCAAAATTTTCGGTTAATTCAATTACCAACCAAATTAACCAATCTAATTTGGTTAATAAATTAATTGGTCAATACTTGATTTTCAGTAGATTCAATGAATTTTTGGACAAAATTTGGTTAATTTGGTTATAAGAATTTCTTAACTGAAATGACAGTTTGCTCACCATAATTGGCGGCAATTTCTTATGAAGTGAACATAAATAAGAAGAAGATATCAATCTTGACATAATGTCTGAAAGGAAGAATGTCACTTAGGTTATCTACATGCTTTAAAAGAAATCTCTACAACCATATGATACTAAGGTTCCCTATAACCAGTATTATTTATTTCCAACCGAATACGCTCAATAATACCTTTAAAGCTTCCCGGCAGATATACGCTATCTGATACTCCTCTAAAGGCTCCTCCGTTACATTCATCAAATCAGCAACACTTCCACCACCGCAGTATTCCATTACTATCTGTCCAAACATGCAAATAAGTTATCCCAAAACCAATTAACAGGAAGAAGTAAATGCCCCAACCAGAACAACAATAACAAACCAATGCAACATAGAAACTGAAATTAGCTCAAACTATCCTGAATCAAAATTTGATGGCCAAAATGCACCAACCCAAAGATATTCTTCGCCTTGGTAGCTCCCAAGGTACCGGACAACATTTGGATGACTACATTGCTGCAACATCTCAATTTCACCACGAATTTCTTCATACCCTTCTTCCTACAAAAAACAAACTTAAGAGCTCATTCCCAGTGATTTATCAGCCAACCTCTTCGACTATATTAAACACAAACAAGAAATTCATTCGCACCCCTTCACTTAGAGAAATAACTTTGATGGCGACAAGCTCTGAAGTTCTTCTATCTCTAGCCTTATAAACAGCCCCGTAAGATCCTTTACCTGCCACCCAAAATCCAATATTAGTTAACATATTTCCTTTCATTCCAATTCACATAAAATCAGCTGAATGCCCACTCATTAAAACACACACACACTCAGTTCACTAAGCATTTAAAAATGGAAAAAAAATAGTATGAGTACGAGGGTAATTATCATTCGATAAGCTTCAAATAAGAATAAATAAAAACTCACCGAGCTCATTGAGCAACTCATATTTAGTGGAAGGATCCTCTCTGGTAAGGCTATCAGGAATCGAACTCGACGAAACCTTACTATTTTGCGAGAACCGATTCTCTTCCCCTTGCAAAGACGCAGACGAAGTAGATCTCTTTTGTTTTCCAAGCCCCAGCTCTCCCATACTAGCCACCGCTCTGCTCACCACAGTCCCGCTCCCTTGCCTATCGCTCCTTACCGTCGATCTCACCACAAAAGTCCCAAAACCTTCCCCATCGCCATCCACATCCTCCTCCTCATCATCGTCCATTTCCTCTCTCCTTGCCCTCATCGGACTCACCACTGCCGCCGCCGGAGGCTTAAACGAAGAAGAAGTTTGACCACGAGTGTTACGTCCGCGAACGGTTTTCACGATCATGGTTCCGAAACCTCCTGCGTCTTCATCGTCGTCGACGTCAAAGTCGGTCGGACCGCCGCCTCCACCGCCGAAGTCCTTCGGGAGACGTTTGAGGAGAGGAGGGAGGGAGGAGTCGTCTTCGTCTTCTTCCTCTCCGTCCTTGTAAAGCATCGTGGCGTAAGGGTCCTGTTCACGAGGCGGGCGCTGCTTACGCTTCGATCTGGTGGAGTCGGAATCGGACTCTGATTCGGATCCGGAGTGTATGACCACGGTTGAGTAGAGTTCGGATTTGACCGCGGCTTTTCGATTACGTCGGGGCGGGTAATCCATTTCTTTCCTTTCCCCCGCTCGGCCAGTGTGAGCGCGTGAAAGTCAGAGAGCTCAGAGCAGTGAAGGCAGAATCGCTGATGACCGTCCCCCTGCGCTGGAATTAAAAAATAAATAAAAATAATTGCAATATTTTCTTCAGCTGGAAATATATGGGGCCCACCACTTGCCGTATACTGGACTTCTATATTTGGGCTTTTCCCGGTTAAAGCCCATTTCTCAACTTCAGTCAGCATTCTGCCCACTATCCTTGATTGGGCCTGTCATCACATCAGCCCAGTAAATTCACCAAAAATATAAATAACTAAAAATATTTTTCTTTTTAAATTACACATAAATATATTTAAAAAATTTAAAATAATTTAATTTCAATTTTAAAAATATTACTATTTTTTTAGAGAGAAAAAAGTAAGGAATGTAAAAGAGCAAGATTATTTAGGAAAGAAAAACTTTTTCGAAGAAATGAGGATTAAATTGAAAAAACACCAAATTAGTTATAAATTTTAATGTACTTAATTAATTTGACACCAATTCGAACAATTTTCTTGATATAGATTCTACTAATTCTAGGATTTTTCATCCGACTAATACTATGTTCACATGCACACTCGTACTCTATGTACATGTAAGTATATATAAATGTGTATGTGTATATAAAATGAAAACGATAACTTCACCCCATAACGGACGAACCAAGTTTAGAATTCGAATAAATGCTCATGTGAGTTTGAGATATTACGTCTTAACGATAGAGATTTGAACTCTTTATCTACTTTAACAAGTTTTTAACAAAAAAATTCATTTAAATTCTCAAAACATTGGTGACTCCTCATGGGATAATCAAATAACCATTAAAGTACAATTCGCAATAAAAATAAAAATTTGAATCTTATCTTTCAAATAAAAAATACATATACTTATTATTGAGTCGAGAAACTTCAAGCTACACTGTATATTATTGTAGCCAAAGAAAGGATCTTTGATAAATATATGCTTCCAATTCTAAATGATTCAAGAAGAAAGGGGTCAAGGGGGAAGTTGAAAACCTTTTGACTGAAAAATGTTCTCTCATTATGCATATTGCTCCACTTTGGTTTGAAGATTTGGGTTTTGAGCAAAAGGTCCAAATTCCATTTTTAAAAGACAAATAAATAAACAAAAAAAAAGGTGATATTGGAAGAATCCCATTGATAATCCAAGGGGTTTTCATGTTACTACTACTTTTTTGATTGCTTCATCAACAAGATTAAAAAAAAACCAAAACCAAAGGAATTTAAGAAGGCTGTTGGTTGGTTCTTTGTCCACAAAATTTTACAAGTAAGACAAAACCAAAAGAATTTGAGAACACAATGGGGAAGTGGTTCTTGCCTACACCTTGCTCCAAAGCCCCAGTGTGATCTTGACTTTGAAATGATTGGATTCCCTACCTCCAACCAAAACAATGCAATGAACAAAAACGAGATAAAAATATAGATGTTCATCAATTATGTGAAAAAGCATATAGAGTTTATATTTTAAAAATTATTTTACATTTTTAGAAAATGTAAGACAATTTTCTTAGATCAATAGGGTTAAGTTCATTCATTTGAAAATTTTTTATATCTATTTTTGTATTTTTTCCTTTTAAACATAAAATAATATTAGCAAATTTTTGGGTAAAATATTTTCATGTTTTTCGGACGGAGCGTTGTTCATTCGTCAACTTTTCCATCCTTCTCAACCAACCAAAACCTAAAAGTTAAATGCCTTTTAGTAAAGGATGATTATATGCCACCAAAAAGAAAAGCCTACATTCTCTCTACCCCAAGATTATGGAATCACTCATATAGAAAAATGATGATGATTGGTCAAGGAATACCATAAACTTTACCATTTTGAAACCAACCAGAATCAATACTATGCAGTTCCAAAAGGCAACTTAGCCTCATTACTTAATACTGATATGCCCTAAGCTTAGGTTGTTAAAGCTCTCTGAATGATATGCTGCTGCAGCAGTGATTACCCAGCCGAATGCTTTCTGGTTTCATGGTGTTAAGCTAGGCTGGCTAGCTATGGCTAAATTCTAAAGCCCTAAGCAGGTAGCTAGCTAGTGATTATCATCTGCAGTGGCCCAAAGTTTCTTAATGATCCTTTTTTCTGGTATGATTTAGAAAGAATGAAATGATCTCGCACAGAGTGGGTGTGTAACTTTCGGCACAAGGAGTTGCTTCATGAGGGGTCCACTTTCAATACGGATGCCTAGATTTATCCATGCCAAAGCCCTTGTTCATGCCCCTCATGCTGCTGGTTCTAGTCCGAATTATTGCTACAGAAAGTAGAAACACAGGGTCTGATGATGATGATGATGATGATGCATTTTTTCTAGGACAAATGATTGATGGGGATGCATGTATCAACCAGCATATGCCACGACATTGACATTTATGAAAGATTTTTTTTTTCTTCTTTCCAAACAGTTTCATGTCATGGTTACTCATAATCAATGGAAATTAATAGGCTGTACTGATGAGCTGATGATAGTTGATGACAATTGATTGATAAGATATATTCATGCATGCATCATCCAATATGAGCCTCCAAGAGGTTTTTTTCTTCTTAAATGACAGAAATGGAATGATTATATGTAAAGTAAGGAGGAAAGAGATATAGGCCATCATAGCCAGCTAGTAATTCCACAAAACTGTGAAACACAAAGTTCCCAAAGATGATTGGTGAATGTTTTCTGGAGAGCAAATGCAAAGGGGGGAATAAAATAGAGATGAGGAATCAATAAAAAAATGATAAAAAGAGAGCAACTTGCATCACTGCTTTGGCAATATAGAAAAGTGTTGGTTTGGATATCCAAATCCCGATTGCATCTCCTTTACAGACACATAGAGAAAAGAAAGGCAGGAAGCTTTTTTAACAAGGCATAAAAACCCTGTAGAAGATATATTCCTTTTAAAGAATATGAACCACCCTGTGAGCCAATAATGGTCCCCATCTCTCACTGTTATGTTAGGCCTTTGGGTTCTTATTCTTCAATCATTTGAAAGAGTAGTACTCTATAGTAAAGACCCCAGAAAAACAAAAACCAAAAACCCAAATACATTTTCTCAAATTAATTCTTAGCCAATACAATTTTAATTCTCAGCCCACTTGCAAAGGAATCCCATTTCCTTTTCTGGTTTATTTTTATTTTCTTGTTTAATGCTTGTTAAAAGCAAGTCTGAGAGAGGGAAGGAATGGCCTGGAAATCTCCAATAGCAACTAAAAGATATCTTGAATGGCGAGTGTCTCATTCAAATGGATCTGCATATATATAACACTGGCTTTTGAGCATGTATGGGACAAAAGATGCACAAAAACAAGACAAAAATGGAATAAAGGTGGAGGGGGCACCATGGGATGGATGAGATATGGGTGTTTTTTGTTTTAATATTAATGATGATATATACCCAATGGAGGAAGTGATTTGTTGTGTTGAACAAGGGTTTGATATATATGGTTAAGATCTGATGAGGGAATGCAATCTGTGGAAGCACATTCCCAAAGTGGGAATATATAAGGTATCCGTATTTTTGGACAGTAAATCTCAAAGAGAACCCTACATATCCTTTGTAGTAACAATTGTAATATGTAGACAGGGACAAGGATAGGGATAGCGATAGGGATAGGGAGATCATATTAACCCTTTGCTACCTTCATCTCATCCTTTTTCCTTTACAGAAAAAGAAGAGAGAAAAGGAATGCATCCATCTAAGACAGATATTTATTGGTCGGTTTGATCGAAATCCACTTATCTCGGAAGATATTTCGATTTGATTGAAAAATTATTTTTAAAATATGTTTTATAAATATAAAATATATTAATAATAATAATTTTTTCATCGATTCAATTATAAATTTTGAATGCAAATACCCGACCGAAATAATCAAATAGATTTTCCTTTCTGATTGATTAGTATCAAATTAATACTCACCCATAAAATAGACAGCTATCTCGATCATGACCCTAGTTCGAAGCCATTAGCTTAAAGCCTTAAAAACATAATAATTTGGTTATTGCAAAGAAAAGGTCTTTGTTTGCCTAAGCATAGTCTTTTGTAATTATATCATGGTTGATTAATTAAATCTCTATTTTTAATACTACTTATATTTTTTGTTTGTAGGAAGCAAAAACTGCAAAAAGAAAATGACAAATTACAAAACTAAAATCTCGAGCATTTTTTGTTAATAAAGAATTAAATTAATTCTAACTCGTGATTCTTCAACATTCAAAGGGTTAAATTGGAGTCTCTCAACACTCATTATACTATGAGTTAATGTATCTTTTTTACTCAGGGTCAGAACTCATTTATTTGTTTTAGCAACTATGTATGGTAAGCACCAGAAATAGTCATGACCAGGTGACAGATTACTTTTGTCTGTTGCATGCTGCCAACAGAAATAGTTTTGTTTGCATGGCTTGAAATGCAAGTCTTTCTCTTCTCTCCTTTTCCACAATTTGCTTGAAATTTAAACCACTTCCCTATTGGCTCTGCCAAGATTCCCACAAAACTGGTAATCTTTTTGCTAGTTTTGCAAGCAGAAGCAATGGGGTATCATCATATCTTTTAAGAAATCTTTCTTGCAAATTAAAACTTCAAGGAGCTGCTGCTGCTTTTGACAGATTGAAGTGGGTATACATTCAAGGGCTATCATCATATGGAACTTCTGGGAACATGAAATAGTAACATAGAAAGTGTACGTACATAGGCTGTGATTAAGGGCAAGGATCGCAAAGCTTTGTACAATGGCATAAGATGTTCATTACTGCATCCATATTTTCTTTTCAGAACATAAAACTAATACCATAAACACACGCTAAGAGTCATGACAACATCTCACAAAGGATAACATGCTGGCTAAGACTACTGATGTTGCTGCAATCTTGAACCATGCACCCAAAATCCTACCACATCTTTTTTCAAAAGTCCAGTTCACCTAAAACTATCAGAGCCACAAAGAAAAACCCTAAAAATTCCTAACTGAAAACAAACATAGAATTTAAACGAAGCCAAAACCAACCAGCCACCAAGAGAGTTTCAAGCAACCCTAGGTATAGCCCTGCAAACCAGAGGGTTCTTCATCTCCATGGAGAGTTTCAAATGTTCAGTCAAGTCCACATCCCCATCCTGACAGGGAACCCATTTGAAAGCTTGAAGCAACTGAGCCAACCAGAGCTGGACAGTCACCAAACCCATGGCTTTCCCTGGGCAAACCCTCCTACCGGAACCAAAAGGAGCCAACCTAAGATCAGACCCCATGATGCTCACATCTGCTTCCAGGAAACGCTCTGGCTTGAACTTTTCTGGCTCTGCCCACACTTTTCATCATGAGTTATTGCCCACATGTTCACCATTGCTGTTGTGCCTGCTGGAACAAAATTATCACCGACGTGAACATCATGGATGGCAAGGCGAGCCCATGAGAGAAGGGGCCCTGGTGGATGCATCCTAAGAGTTTCCTTCACAATGGCTTGAAGATAAGGCAGATTTGGAATGTCAGAATCTGACACCGGCTTTGTATTGCCAACAACAGCATCAATCTCAGCTTGAACCTTTGATTGGATTTCTGGGTGCAAAACCATTCTAGCTAGAATCCATTCTATCAAGATTGCCACAGTATCAGTACCCCTGAATATCATCTCCTGCAAAACCATGCAATATAAGTGTTGAATCGGTAAAGCAACAAAATAAAGCACAAAAACAAAGTAGTTAAAAGTTAAGTATAGAATAATGTGTAGCATACCCATAAAACAGCAATCATATCGGAGTCATGGAGTTTCTCATGCTTCTCCCAATCAAGTAACACATCAACAAAGTCACCAACTTCACTACCATCATCTTCCAAGTACCCATTAACCTTTTCAGCCTATGCTCTTCTATTATCTTCCCGACAAAGACATTAACTTTTGCAACCAATTTCCTACATCTTGTCCTTACTCCTTGCAAGTCTAGCCAGCACAGAAAAGGAAAATGATCACTCCAGTTAAATATCCCCAACAACTCGTACCCCTCACTCACAAGATCCTCAAGCTCTAACCCTTCTCCAGTCATCTCAAAGTCATACTTTCTACCAAACACAGTCGCCATCACATTGTTCAAAGACGAAAAATGAAGCACCTTTTTGACCAAAACCTTACCTTTTGCTTCCATTAAACACCGTACCTCTTCCACCAGCTGACACCAATTTCTTGTCTAACTCTTCAAAGCCAGCAATCCTCTTGGGACTAAATAAATGGGTAGCTGAGATTCTTCTCAAATCCTCCAATACTCTCCATTGGAGCAAAACCATTGCCCTGTGAAACAAAGCTCAAACGCTGACTCCTTCACTGGCCTATCAGCAAAAGCTGAGTTGTTAAGAATCTCCCTTGCAGTTCGGGTCACTGGAAATGATAAATCGAGTGAATCCGACAGAGAAAGCCATCAACTTCACTGCCTTAATGGTTTTAGCAAGTTTAGCAAGAACTCGGTGAGGGTGGAGCCAGTGAACACAGGGAGTAACCCGAGGAGCGGGAACCCGAGTGGACCAGGGATTGCAAAACCCGCCTTGGACCTGAAACGAGCCCATGCAAGCCCCCCTGGAGAAAGCCACAAGGCAATGATTCCAACCAAAAGAACCGCCCAAAGAAACGCTTCAAGCTAAACGAAGGTGAGTGAACAACAGAAAACCATGTTCTAGGGTCATGTTTGACACTTGCTCTAAGACGGGTGTTCAACAAAAACTGATCTTTGGCAAATGGAAAAGCAGATTTTGACTTACAGGGAAGAAACTAGGAAGGATGAGAAGTGGAGAGTTGCTTGGTAAGTGCAAGAGACAGGGAGTAGAGGACAAGTGATTAAATAGAGGAGTGGGATAGGCAGTAAGAAGTGAAACTTGATTGAACCATGGTAGAAAAAAATGAACTAACCCTGATTAAAAAAGATAATGAAGATTTGTGCGCTACTCTCTTATAATGACAGTATTACATAAATATATTTTGACTTTAAGAGGTTTACTGTGGGATGTGAAAACTGAGAACAACAATTTCAGCATTTAGTTTTTAAAAGGGGGAATCCATTTCGTATCGCAGCGGTCTTTTACCCCATTCTGATTATGATTCCAGGCCACGCTCGTCTCTCTCATTCCTTTCTACAAAAATGCCTTTGGGAGCGAAATCTGAAGCGACGTGTATGTACGGAATGTTGACAGTAGTGTCGTGAGCATACTCGATAAGATGAATCTTAGCCGTGTGATCTTGTCAAAAGATGATGATGGAGATGTACTGCAACAAGTGATGTCGGGACTGTAGCAGGGTGGGGAGGAGACTAGGGCAACGGGGCTAAAAGAGTCTTCACGTAGGTACTTTGTGGTATCTATAGATTGATTTTCTGATTTCTTTTTCGTGATTACTGGTGATTTTTTTTTTCTTTGTAGTGATCACTCTGTTTCCTGGCCACGAAAATTGATTTCTGATGACCAACAACAGTTCCAATGGATGGGATGGAAGTCCGAAGAAATTAAATTCATTTTGGGAATCCTCTGCATCATTTCTTTACTAATATCCGATTGAGTGCTTACAATCTTCTGGAGTCTTAAATACCCACAATTCTTTACAGACAGAGTTGTTGCTGACAAGTAAGCTAGGCTTTTCATTGGCTAGATAGATAAACTATGAAACCCACTCCCCCATTTGGTCTTTTTCCATTTACTTCCATCAAGAAAACCACCATTAGATTGTGATTGGGAAGTTTTCTAGGTAGATTTATGATGATCATTAACGACTCAGAATTTAAATTTAGAATGCAAATGAGTAATGGCCATGCGGGCAACCAACGCAAGAGAGGTTTGCAGTCCCCATTCTTCTCCCGTATGATCCACGTTAACCTAGTTGGAATGCATAGTTCCCCATGCCATGGCAATAAATGAATACAGCTCATGAAACATAGAAATTATACTTGAATAAATGATGCATTTTTTTGTATGCATTTACAGTGTATAGTGCTCCTTTAATGTGCACTTTGGGTTGCCCTGTCGGAACAAAGAAGAAATATGAAAAGTAGTTATTCTAGAAAGGATATTTGGTATTCTTATGCCTTGGACGTGTGTCTTTACTGAAATTTCATTACTTGGAGGGTATACAACAAACTAGTTTCTGAAGGTGGACGACTTGGTTCAGTCCAAGAGCTGGTTTAACTCAGAGGTAGGATAATGTTATCTGTGGAGCCTCGAATAACTTGTTAAGATGAACTATCTCATTCAACAAAGCCTGGCTGGTAGAGGTGGAATCCTCCTCTTCCACAATATTCCTAAACTAAAACTGAACTCTTTGGTGGGGTTAGCAAGTCAAATTCTGATAAGAGTCAGTGTTGGTTTATATATTGTCAACTGCATGAGAGAAAAAAAGGGTTTGATGTCTTACGAAAATGTAGCTTCAGAAGTTAACCATATTGTCACCGGATATGGAGTCAACAATCCTGAGACCAGGAATAAATTTTCTCAACCATAAGTCCATTTTCCATGGAATTGGACTTCCCCAACTTGTTAATGGCGGACGATGTTAGTATTCACAGAATTCTTACTAGAATCTTATTAGCAAATGATTACCATGACATCAAACTGTAAACAATAACCTCGGGGAATTGCCATTTGAAAGATTTATCAACAGAATAGTACAGTAATCACGTGAATAACAGTAAGGACAAGGGTCCAGAAATGATAAAAATCTTTTACTTTTCCACTTCATATCGAAGAGTACATGAATGAGCTGTGTTAACAAGGGTAACTCCTCCGTCTGCATGCAAAATAGGATAGTGGTGGTGCAGGTGGAGCAATGGGGTGTAGCTACTAGGGCACTAGCAATAGGGCGCCAGCATGCATGTTTCATCAGCAACAGCAGCATCTCTCGTACAGCTACTGCCCAGGCGCCGCCCTACGTTTCCTTTGTCAGAGTACAGCGGATTAATTATTTTGTTCATTGCTTTACTCTACTCCTCCCTCCCAAACTTTCCTTTTTCCCCGTTCCTGTCTCTGTTCTGCTGCGTCCCCCCGTCTCTCTTTCTCTGTCATCGCCTATAACACGTAAGACGTTGATCCCTCTCTGACTTTTTGCTGCAAAAGCCCTTCCTCCGGCTCCAGCTGTAGAGTTTGAGGCCAGCCACGTTGAGTTTTATCTTCCCAAAAAGAACGATAGGTGTCGCTTCTGATCTGAACTGAAAAACATTTCTTCTTTTTTGGTTTTGGATTCTCTTGTCTGTGCTTGCATGCAGCCAATCTGTCTTTGATTCGGCCTTTTGGAAGAGAGCTGGCCAATCAGCATCAATTGAAAAGCAGAGTGGGGAAGCAGAATGGACTCAGATCACAAAACAACAGATCATAACAAATGTACAGGGCACCAACCATACTTCCAAGAACCAATGAAAGAGGGTACTGTTTTTGACCAACCTGTTTCCAACTAGGTTAATGTGGCTTGGAAGTTGGAACTTGGTACTGCATCTGGCCAGTTGGCGGGTTCCTGGAACGATATCTTTGGTGTCCTTCACCTGCTGCTTGATTCTGTTGAAATCTTTTTCCATATCCCCCAAAAGTAAATTTTGGACTAATTAGTAAATAACATTTACTACAATAACATTGCTGTTTTTCATTTTAATTTTTTAATCAAGGACAAAGTGTCTAAAATATTAAATTGATTACAAGTGTCTAAAATAGTGTTCATGAAGTAAGAAGGGCTACCAAAAGTTAATAGTGTACGTTGCAAAATGTTAATGTTTAAAGTCCTTTCATTTGGAGAAAGCCCAAGAAGGGGAGGAGGTTGTCCCTAGCCCTATCCCTCATTCTTGGGGCCAACAAATCATTAGGGAATTGTACTTCTTATGAAGCTGGTATAGATTGTAACCTAGTTCTTCTATCCAAGTCCTTGCAAGACAAAATTAAATGAAAAAGATGCAGAAGCCTGTTCAAAGTTTAGTTTGATTGTCAAACAATTCTGAAGAATTAAGCTCAACTCTTGAGTTCATGTCATGTCAAACGCTTTAAAAGAAGTAGACAGATATTAGTCAAGTTAACCCTTGAAGAGAGGATAGCTCCGTGTGTGTATGCATGAAAACACTGTAGCATCAAAACTATTACAACAAAGCCGTTTTTACTGAGTGTGGTCAATCAACAGTTGAAAGCAAGATAGTTTACCAGTTACATTCGAATCAATGGATATGACACCCACAAAATTCATTTTCTCTTTTGCTAGCCACCAACCCCAAAATTTCTTGCCAATCACATGAGGAAAATTGTAATAGTAGACAATTTTTTTTTTTATGCCATTCAATGGGATCTTAGACAAATTGCAGTCTGTGCATCTAATCCAGAAAGGAACCAGGAGTGAGGGGCTAGAGCTTAAGTGTACCTAAACCAGCACTATATGGATTTTGGCTGACACTTTATTTAGGGGCAGTAGGCGCTTGTATTATCCCCCATTTCCTTCGAACATCCTCCAAATCTTCGTGAAAGTGCTGCTCATAATATACACACATGAGATCTGTGCATTGCATGCCGGCCTTGACAGCCCATGGGAAGTAATGCTGGAAGAACAATGTTCTTTGTTTTTCATTAAATCTTGCTGTTCCACCTACTACTGAAAGGAGGCACATTGGGAGATACATTTGCTCAAATTCAATAACCTTCAATGCAGATTCACCAATCAAGTTAGTAGGAAGGCCAAAAAGGGTATGCCAGAAATCATGCACCTCACGAGCCCGCATAGCCACATATGCCAGTTCATCCGTGTCCATGAACCGAACAGGTGGCCTATCATCTGGGGAAAAGTTCCTGGATCCCATAAACCTAGCATAGGCAGCGCCAAAAGTGTTTTCTGGTAGGTCCCATGCGTGACCCACTTTTGCAGATATAACACGCGGTCGCTCATGGAGCACTGCCTGTTAAAGAAAACACCTTGGTTACGGATGTGAAGGTCAAAACGTGTTAATAATCAGTTATGGATATTACTGAAATGAGGAAAGAACATCATGGATGACCTATGAAAAGAAGATGTTTGAACTATCAAGCTGCTTATTGACCTAAAAGAATGCAATGGATTAATAACACAAGCAGACTCCAAATTCCAAATAATTATATGTAATACATAGGCCCCGAATTTCCGAATTGGCCATTGCATTGAATATGTTGCAAAACACAGCAATGCACGAGTAAGGCACATCTACTAGGAGGTTCTCTTTTTCAACGAACCAGAAGAGGTAAAAGGAATAACCATGTGTATTAAGATCAATTCAGTAGTATACATAAAAACGAAAACATGCTTCAGCTCCTTTTTCATGGTGTTATTGCAGTTTTTGATTGCCAAAAATGTGGCTAAACTGGATACTACTAATTTGTTAAGCCAGTAAGGTTGACTCTACTTGCAGTCCATTTCTCAAAAACCAACCAAGAGAGAAAAAGCATGCATTTAGCATTTTCACTAAATTCTTATAACAAGGACACTTACAAAGCTAAAATCATCTTGCTAAAACAATAAACAACTGAGTGAACAGACATCATATACCCCAATAGTGGGGTTTATTTGTGTCCTTTTGTCGAATCTTTTTCAAGGCATGAAAGATAAAGTTTTTGATAATCCAATGCAAAAGATCACATAAAATTTCTACATTGATGACATCTTATTCAACTTCCATAATCCTAAATGAACTGATTTTCCTTTCACCCATTTGAGTTTCTAATTCAACATTATGAATTCTCAAGTCAAATCCCCCTGCTCAATCTGAACAAAAAAAAAAAAAAATATTTCTAACATGCATATTACTCAAGCAAGTATTTTTATAACCATTAAACCTGTTTTTTTTTTTTCAATCATTAGATTCATTATCATAGATTTTAAAGCATCAATTACATAGGAGTAAAGAAAAAGAGACTGACTCTGCCTTCTGGGCTCCTTTTCATTCTCTCAAGAACTCTTTCGAAAGCAGGCTTTCCAGTTGTCTCTCCAAGAGCTGCGATTAAATCTGCCCTTCGTGGATCGAACAACGCACCCACCGCTGAACCTACAGCGACCGCCGCCTGCTGCCATGGGCTCAGCTTAATTCGAGCCCTTCCTATCATTTCTAATTCAAAATTAAGACATAAAATGAACAGAGTTAAGTGTTCGGATAAAGATATGCGCAATTTTAATCTAAAAAACTTAATCAATGAAGTTTGTGAGTTACCGGAGTTTGAATCCTCCGCCTCGATCTTAAGGTTTCGAAATTGGGACAGGAGCGAAAAAGAATTAGGAAAGGGAGAATGGAAAAGAGGCGGTTACGGTGGCCAGATAGGTTGCAAAAACGCCGGGAGACGGCTGGAAGACTTATTCAAAGGATTTTCTTGGGTAATATATGAGAAAAGCCCTGTATTATTTGAAAATTTATAATTAAGCCCCTGTACTATGAATTTCAAAAGATTAAGTCCCTCCTTGGACGGAATTAAGTCATATGGGCCGTCTGGCTGTGGCGTCAACTAACTCTTAGTTAAAAAACGGGTTTCAATGCCCGTACGGTAAGATGACGTGGCATTAAACGGTTGCAGGATATTTTTT